CTGGGACTGGGTAGCTCAGTGGTAGAGCACTTGCCCATCACACATGAGGCCCTGGGTTCAATTCCAGCACTACCGAGAAATTAGAGGAAGATTCTTGTTTGACTGCAATCTTGGAAATTCACTAAATTAAAAAGCAAGCTGCATGCTGCTTAATGGGTAGGGAAAGGTTCTAGACACTGGGTCACAACACTGTGATTATACTATTAAACTATACATTTAAGATTAGCTAAGGTAGTAAATTTTGTTATATCAAAAGCAGGTTGCAGAATAATAATAAAATGTAATATAATAATATATCTAAAGAGTACATCTACACTTGCTATAACCTTCAAATAAATTTCCCAATCATGCTGCATAAGCACATATGCATCTGGATAAATTAACAGAGACATCTGAATAAAAATCAATATAAGGGGCCTGGGGAGAAGCTCAGCAGCCTGCCTGGCAAGTCTCAAGTTCCATCCCCTGTAGTGAAAAAAAAAAAAAAAAAATCAATGTAAGTCAAGCTGCTACAAGTTATTTCTAGTGAGAGAACTGGCATCATATCGTGCAGAGAGCATATAAAGAGGAACTTCCCATGTCACTCTATTGCATAATTTCGGCTTAAATTACGTGCATGCATTTTTCTTTAGATGCATTCATTCATTCATTCTTAGCTGTCTTTTGGAACGAGGTCAAAGAGTATTTCTCATCTCCCCTTTTCCTCATCCTTGCAGACTGCTGAGAAGGATGGTCCCTTCCGTCCTCCTGCAGGAGAGAGGGTGGGTGAGAGGCAGGGTTCCAGCCTCACCATGAGGACTACTTCCTTAGAACATATTCATGACCAGAAAAGGAGACAGCTGAGTGCCAGAAAATTAGGCCCCTCCAAGTATTACTGCAAATACCAGCTCTCTGCACCACAGACTCCCGCTAACCAAAGTCTGGTCTCAGCCTCAGAAGAGATCGTGGTTTCTCTGAAAAGTAAACCCTTGACTGGTGAATTCAGAACCACATGTCTCCAAATCACAGGGTAAGGACAGGGAGCACTCTGCTCATTCTGAAACCTGAGGCCTTACTACCCCAAGGGCCTCCAGCTGTTTGAGGAACAAGAGACCCACAGCTGCCTGGGCTGGGCCAGGAGCATGAGCACCATGAGCTCAGACTGAGGGGCCTGTGCTAGTAACCACTGGCTGCAACCAGTCACCAGACAGGACACTCATTTGCCCAGTCTCTGACCTCATTTGCACTGCATAACCAGGCATCGGGATCACTGACCCCTTAAGACCAGAGAGAACCAGTTAGTACTAGTTAGTATGTGGTCACGTGTACCCTGGTGGACACACAACAGGGAGGGGTGGCAAAGGGAAAAAGCTAGTCCTAATATTTCACTTGCAAATCCCAGCAGGGGTGTAAGACGAAAGTCGGAAACTTTACTGTCCCTGAGAGCAAGGAAGTTATACAAATGAGTACATTTGCATGCCTGGCCTGGTCCCTAAAATGACTTACCAGGCACAGGTCCCTCTGCCCCGGGACCCCACCTGGAACCCTGCAGGCCTCATGGCTGCCCTGACCTAAGGCTTAGGAAAGTTATTTGCCTTGGAAGCAATTAGCATATTCTCTCTAGAAGGAAAATACTATTTCCAAGGTAACCCCACATTGAGATGTTGGTGTGTGAAAAATAGAACACACAGGCGAATGAGCACATTAATATTAGTGTCTGTCCCACAGAGGCCCCCAAGGCTTTACAGCTACTCACGAGCAAAGCAGAAAGACACAGGCTGAGGGTGAGGAAAGCTATGAAGAGCTATGACTCCTGAGTGGCCGAGGCAAGAAGGGCAAGGAAGACAGCTATCCTTTGTCCTGCTCTTCTAGCGGGCCCACCAATTCCTAACTATAAATAACGTTAAGACTGAAGTATTACTTGGTAAGGCTTTTTAAATATTAATGAACTGGAAAAAAATATTAATGAACTGAAAAATTGGTGAGGAAGTATCTGTCAGACTACCTTCCCAAATTTTGACACTGGGAGCCTCCAGGTTGATGGGACGGGAAAGAGAAATTGGACAGAAACCACTGGGCACCCCTAGGGGGGAAAATCCAGATTTCTGTGTTAAAGGTCAAACTGAAGAGCAGAGCAGACAACAGCTCCCTCCAACCAGAAGACAAAAGGAAGGAGCTGCCTCAGAGGAAGACGTGGCTCTAGTGGAGAGACCGGAGTGGTGACCCCATGGGGCTGCCTGCACCACGCCACTCTCTCCTTCAGACCACAGAACTGTGCCTCACCGCCAGCTAGAAGGGTTGCCAGTGGACCCTGGCAGCAGTTGAGCCTGTTGTCTGCACCATGCCACCCCTTCCCTCGGCATCAGCACAGGTTCTCCTACATCTGACACAGGGACGCCACCCACTCCTGTGCAACATTCTGTGGGAGCTGGACCCACTCCCTCGCTTACCCACGGCCCCCAATCTTGGGTCCTAGCTTGACAGAGAGGTCCCCACATCGAGTGGCACCTCTGCTCTGGGGTGAGGCCAAACATCTTCTCCCCAAGAGGTCAAACCACTGACCTGCTCCAAGGGTGGCCTAGAGCTTGGCCTAAACTTGCAAACACCTGAGCCACACTCAATCCCCACGAGCCCCCAGCAGGGGCAGGCATGATTATCCACCCCAACCAAGGCAGAATGTGAGGGCTCTGTCTGAACAGGCCAAGGAGTTGGTGTACACTTCCTCTGACTCACTCATTTCTTCTATATCAAAACCTGTAGGGCCTGAGGCTTGGATGCTGCCTGGGATTAGAGGACACACTGCTGGGGCAGGTACTAAGCATCCAATCGCATATGTGCAGGGGCCAGCAAGGGAAGCCACTCACTGCTGCACACATGCGTTCTATACCTCAGAAGTTCCCCAAGGACAGAGGCTGGTCTTGGCTACCACTGTTCCCTAAGCACAGGGCACAGAGAAGGCCCAGATGTGCAGAGGCACGGTATCAGGCAGCCTTTCCACACTAGCCCTACTACTGTCATGGGAGCTGGAGCTGAGGTCCCTACTGAAGAGCAGCTGGTCCCAAATGCATCTGGATCCTGAGTTGCTGGGCCCCTAACTCAGGCTTCAAGACGTGCAGGCCTGGAATCCCAGCACTCTGGATGGCTGAGACAGAAGAAGCATAAGACTAAATAACTCAGCAAGGCTCTGTCAGGTTGGGGATGTGTGCCACTCAGTGCCAAGGCCCTGAGCACAAACCTCAGTACTCAAGGCAGATCCAAGGGGTGGTATTTGCCAAGCTAAGAATGTAGAGGCTGCTCGCCTAAGCCCGCTGTCTTCACCGCCCAGGACTCTAGGCATGTTTTGTTTATAATCTCCTCAGTGAGACAGCCACTTTCCCCGCCTCACCAACCTCACCCTTCTCCCTTGAATAACTGAATTTTCTTCACACCTTGAGCATGCTCAAGCTACCCACTCGTCATTCACAGCCCTCTGAATTTCCTGTCTCCAACCCAGTCAAAAGAAAACCCCAAATTTACTGTTATTGTTTACCAACCCAACTGCCTCCTCAACCCCAAGTGTGCAGACTCAGCCCAGCCCAGCCCACTCTCCTGCAGAGCCTAGGGCTCCCAGGGCACTCACAGAGCACCAGCTCCTGCTGCAAGCTAGGGCACTACCCCCATTCCCTTCCCTCCTGTATCCAGAGCACTGTGTGCTTTTTACAGGAGCTCTCAGTGTGGTGGCAGGAAATCCAGGTTAGAGTCGCCCAACCGGCTGTGAGGCCCTGGGCAAGTGTGCACTTCTCTGGGCCTGAGTTTCCCCCCAGACAACTGAAGAAGAGCTGCCACCCTCTTTGTGTCTCACACCACACACAGTACCTGAGTTGCCCCCAACCCCACCTCATAAAAGCTGGCATCTGCCTGAGGAACAAGTCTGGACCACCCAACTTGAGAGTTCAGTGGGAGCGAAGTTAGAGATACAGCTCCTACAGTCAAGTCAGCATGGAAGGCTGGGGCGAGGGGAGAGAGGCACAGCATGACCCCAGCCATCCAGGCAACAAGCCAAGCCCAGGCTAGTGTCTCACTGGCCACAAGAGCATCCTGCTGAGCTGGGCCAACCCTGGGAAGGAAACAAGACACTGGGTACAACACTGGGGCTCCAAGAACAAGAAGGTCATGAGACCGGCTTCTGTGGCACAGTAAGGCCACAGGTGTGTCTCTAGTTCTTGGGCTTGTAGACATTACCTTATGTGGCAACAGTCTGCAAACTGCAAGGACCCTGCAATAAGGGCATTATCCAAACCATCTGGGTGGACCCAGCCCATCATGCTGCTCCTTTCTAGCCCAGCTGCTCTGTGACCTCCACAGCACATGCCCTCTTGGTCTACTCTCCCACGAACAAGGACGAATAGCCACCTGGCTTGCCTTTCTCCAGGCTAGCTCTGGCGGGTCACATGGATGAACTGATCAGGATAGGTGCTCTCCCTGTCTGACGGGGAGGGGCAGTGATGGACCAGAACTTGCTCGAGGCTGTCCTGTAATGCACTTCACACCAGCCTAGGGCCTCACCTTCTCCACAAGTGAGGAAAAGGTCCAGAAATCCTTAGGTCTCTTCTGGCTTTGGTTCTGCCTGGTCCCTACCGCCCCCTCCTGGAGATTACCGGTATTACACCAACCTGCTCCTTTCCTGGTGTTTCCAATTGAACCACATTCAACACTACACCCTCCTCCAGGACACCACATGGGTGGTCTCTTCAGGATGACAGTGCCAGCACCTAGCAGTCACTATCCAAGAGTCATGTGCCAAAAAGCAGGTTGGATCCAGAGTCAGTATTTGGCAAAGAGGAAGCTCTCCCAGGTTCTCCTTGTCACAGGACGGAGCGGTATTCATTCCCCCTACACCAGACACGCCTCCACCACGGAAGCCCTCCTTGCACCTCCAGGGCACCAGCCTTGTCCTCCCCCAGCATGCTAAATCTCCCCACAGGTGCTAAGTACAGAGGGATCAAGGACCAGAAACTCAAGAAAGACAAAGGAAAACTTTCAACTATTAAATCTGTTTAGTAAAGACAATTTTGCTCATACAAAACAGTTTACAACAGTCTGAGTGCTGGACACCATCAGAGACAAGGCAGGTGCTGCAGGCACCCAGGGCCCTGTCCCCAGGCCCAGAGAGGACCCAGGGGCCCCTCCACCACCAACCCTGAGGAGCCACCCCCTTCCTCCCCAGAAGGGAGGGCAAATGTGGGACCGTAACACAGAAGACTCTCCCATGCTGCTCCTCAATCCTAGGGGAGCACCCTTCCTTCACAGGCTGAGTCGGGAGAAAGTAAAGTGGCTAATGGACAGGGGCAGAGTCGGGACATCTTTGGTGCGAAGACTACCCCATCCACTAGGCCACACGTGGAGAAGGGAGGAAGGGCCACCAAGAATCGTCCTGCCTTCACCCACAAGTAGCTGATGCTGCCCCCAAGCCAGGAGAGAAGCACAAATGCAAAAGCATCACAGCCTGAGCAGCCCAGGCTCACCTGAGTGAGCAAGGAGGCGCCCACTAAGAAATGGCTAAAAACCCAGGGAAATCGACAAGCACGACTGATCATGGCAAGAAGGGGAAGGCTAGAGGCTCTTCAGAGGGTCAGTACCTCTGAGGACCAAGGACAAACACTACACTACATGGGAAAGGGGTCCTGAGGGGTCCAGTCTTCCTGGTCACTGCACCAGTTCCCAGTCACTCCCCTCAGCTCCCAGAACCCAGCTACCAGGCAGCCCGCAGCCAGCCTGGCTCCAATGTGGACAAGCGTCCCAGGCACTTAGGCGGGCTCAGTACGGGCCGGGAGGGAGAGGCTCTGGAGCCCTGCAGCCCAGGCCCATTGAATGCACAATCAGTCTTAGGCACAGGTCTGGGCATGCGCACATGTGCACACTCGCCTGTCCGGCACACTGGTGAGGGTTGAGTGCTCCAGAAAAGGGGCAGCAGGCACCCCCACCCAGGGGACCTTGAGCTCCCAGAATGCCTGAGCCAGTGGAGACTCTGGGCTGTAGTGGAAAACAGGGAGGGTAGGGGGACAACACAAGGACACTCCCCACAGCTGTTTCCACAGATACCCTGGCTCTATCCCAGCCAGACCTTTGCAGTACCAGAGGGAACGGGGTCTGCTGGAAAGGAAGAGGACGGGGTAAAGGACAATAAAAGATTTCATAAAAACTCTAAGTCAAATGACTAATAAAATTGCAAATTGAGCACAGGTCCAAGAGCACCTCGCTCCCGTCTCTCCACAGCCTCCCAGCCCCTCCCATTCCAGGGAGGCCAGAACCAAAGGCAGAATTCAACCACGGACCAAGTTCCAGGCTCCGCGTGGCTGAAGAGGAGAGGAGGCGGAAGTGGACAGTCTGTATCTCTTCGTTTAAAAAATATATTCATGTAGAGAGTTATTGCTTGTCCTCCAATGGGGCAGGAGGCACAGCGGCTCAGTGGGCAAGGGCCGCAGCCTCCAGGGCCCGAGCTTTCTTCCGCCTCTTCAGAAGCAAAGGGTTCGATGCATCTTCAATCTTTTTTATCTTGATCTGCTCATAGTCGACACGCATTGTGGCCAAGGCACTGGTCATCTCCTCCTGGGGTCAGCGGCAGCAGAAGGAAGGCACAAAGCAAAAGCCAGCCAAAGATTGGGAGGGACAGGAGGGGCAGGAGGTGCAAAGAGGCATGAGAGACGAGACGAAGCAAATGGGGTGCAGGTGCAGGGTCGGTGTGAAGAGAGAAGAGGGCAGCCCAGTTAGTGCATCTGAGCAGGTGACGGCAGTCACCCAGGGATACACCAACAGAGCCCCCCTAGGCCCTGGGAGGACAAGAGTCCTGGACAGGAAGTCAGGAGCTCTGGCTAGCCCCAGCTGGTCACCAGGAGTAGACCTAAAGTGAGTCCCTCTCTTTCGGGCTTTGGTCTCCTCCTATGCAAAACAAGGAGACTGTACCAGAAGGCCTTTCAGATCCCTTAGGAACCCGAGCAGCAAGGGCTCACAGGAAGCAACCACTGTGAAGTCTCCAAAGGAATACAGCACTTCTGCCTACTAGCCCTGGGGCAGGGAAGCGGCTTCCAGTCCCTGTTCTTGTCAGGGAGACATTGGAACCACTTCTCCACCCATATCACCCCCTCCTGATCACCGTCCTGTCTGCCCAGATCTACAGCCCAGCCCTCCCACCAGCGGTACCCTCACCTTGACATCCTCCCACCGCTCCTTGTCTTCCTTCAAGACTCGGCTGGTGTGTAGCGGGGTCTGAGGGACCTTTGTGGATTGCTGAGGAGACAGGGATTCCAGTGAGAGCGGGGACACGCAAGGACCTGACCAAGGCTCAGCCCAAGGGACGGTCCTTGCAGACCTCACTTCCCTGCCAGCCTGGCACCCCAGGCTCACCATGATCCAGGGATGGTTCATGAATTCCGTAATGGTCATTCTCTGAGTGGGCTCTGTTTTCAGCAGGTTCCGGATAAGCATTTTCACTGTGGAGTAGCAAAGGAGACAGGGACAAGGACAACTCAGGCACCACTCCCTACTCTGCTCCCTACCGGTTTTCAGAAGACACCAGGCTCAAGGGGTTGGCACAAAGGTACAATACAGTGGCCCCAAGGACCAGTGAGTGCGCTCCACTCTCTAAGACCCCACAGCCCAGATCTGGGCCTTGACTCAGGCAGGTTCCAGATAGGCAGGGCCCACCCAGAAGCATGAGACAGACCACCTCATGTTCATATGTGTACATGCGTATGCGTACACACACACACACACACACACACACACACACGTGCACAGAAGGTCTTCCCCTTGTCCCAAAGACTGGGTTCCTACCTTCCTCTGATACTTCTGACCACTCTGGGTTGGGAAATTCATATTGGCCCATTCGGATACGGGTCTTCATGCCCGGAGAGATGGCAAGGCCATGGTTGGAATAGAAAGGGGGATAACCACACAACCTGTGCCAGGAAGAGGCAGAGAGAGGGACAGGACAGAGCAGGTGTTATTTAGGGGTCCTGCACCAGAAATAAGATGAGAAACCAGTTCCACTCCTCATACAGGTTACAAAGAAATGGGGGCTCACTGTACAAGTACAAAACACAAAGCCAACGTCAGGCCTAGGAATCTAATGTACAAAGAATCTTAACTACTTTCTAACCCATTAGTTTCTACCCACTGCTTAGCAGTCAGAATTCACTAAGCAGGGAGGGAAGGGGGCATACAGGGGATTGCCAGGGAATCCCCCATTCAAAAGGGCAAGGGTAGCATTTGCCTCTTCCTCTTGCCCTGGACAGGCATGGGCTCCCCAAGTCCCCACCCCACCACAGCCCAGCACGACTGAGCCTGGCCCCCTTCCCAGCACACTCACAGGATGTACATGATGACTCCCAAGGACCACATGTCACAGGACTTGTCATACTTCTCTGGGCCCAGCACTTCTGGAGCTGCAAACCAAAGAGCACGTGGGTGGGCCTGGCCCTTGGAACACTGCGACATAGCCCAGTTTCTCTGCAATGCTCCCTGTCCCAACCCTTCATCCCACCATGACGGACAGCAGCTGGGGTGGGAGGAGGAGAGGCGCCCCTCCTCCAAGAGGAACTCTGCAGGTAGAATCTTAAGATGAAAACCTTTTCTGCTGCTAGACTTTCAGACCTGCACTGATGGCTTCATCTCATAAACATGCTTTGGAGCCAACTCTGTGCCCGTCAGCTGAGAAAACACAGCCAAGTCTATGAGAATGTGATGGAGATGATGACTCTTCTCAGGGGACTACACAGGCAGATAAAATCCTGCCATAACCTCAGCAGATGACTTCTTCAGCTCCTCAGGCTGGGCTGAATTCTGACAGCCCTACTTCTCATGGTGCCTCACCAGAACCTGCAAGGCCCACAAGAACACAACTCCCCTAGGACCTGTGGGCCCCTGGGGTCTGTAAAAAGAGGGGTGAGAAAAGTCCTGGACTTACCCACATAGTATGGTGTGTAACAGGGAGTGGTCAAAGAGTTGTGGCTGGTGGTTTCCTTGGCAAAGCCAAAATCAGTGAGTTTCAGAATAGCATTGGGCCTCTTCGAGGTGTATAAGAGATTCTCTGGCTACAGAAAGAGAGATGGGTAAATAATAACCCTGCTGACCCTGAGAGGGGCCATTCCCCAACCACCTTTACACTGACACAGGTGCACTGCTCCACACAGCCAGGCCCTGCCTTCCAGGGCTGACAGAACATCTGGAGGGATGAGGCCAACCCATGGGGCTGCGGTGAACACCACAGGACAGAAAGGCCTAGGGTGTGATGGTGTTGTGCTGACAAGGAGAACCACAGCCTGGGCGTGGCCAGAAGGCATCGATGCCGGTTTGTGGTTTGGCCATGGGCAAAGAGCAGGCCCATGGGTCAGAAAACAGCACACTGCCCTGTTCTGCCATCAGGACTCTGCCTGACTCTGGCAAGCCCTCTCAGGTGACCACAGCCCCAATCCCACAGCCTCCCAGTACTCAGGCACAGCTGGAACCTTGACGTCCCGGTGGGCAATGTTGATTGAGTGCAAATATTGGATGGCCTCGCCAATGCTCTTCATGATTTCTGATGCTTCTATAGAGTAGAGAAGGTGGAAGTGAAAGAGAGTCACAAAGCTGTGTCACTAGGTTTCCAAACCCCAACCTTAGTCCCAGCCTGTGCAACCTGAGGCCCCCATTCTATCTCCCACTCCAGAAACAAGGAAGCCAGGAGGGGCCCAGACCAGCTGAGAGACCCACCCTGGCAGGTAGCAAGTGGAGAGGCAGCAGTGTCCCACCACCATACCTGCCCACCCCAGGACAGGCCCTTCCCACCTCTTTCTGTGAATGCTTGGTCTCCTCGGTCCTGGATTCGGCTAAAGAGCTCTCCACCATCCAAACTGAAAGGAAGTTGCAGTGTAAGCTGGGGAATATAAAACCCACCACCACACTCCACTCCCCAAAGGGCTGGCAAGCATTTACATGCCAAGCCTCAGGTTGTCCTCTGGGGAGGGGCTCCCAAGCAGGACTGGGAGAAGCTGGGGCAGAGACAGCAGGCTGCTTACCACTCCATGACAATCAGCAGGCACTTCCTCCCTGCATATAGGTTCTCGTAGACATCCACGATGCGTACTATGTGGGGGCACTGGGAGGCCCGCCAGTGCAGCTCCACCTCCCTGCGGGCCTTGGGACAGTCCTGCAGCATCTGCAAGCCAAACACTGCCTAAGCAATGCAGTCCCTGATGGGCTGGCACTCTCCGTGGTCCTGCTTCACACCCCAGTCCAGTCCCAGCAGCGGCACTACCAATGACGCACCCCAAACTCCCACTCCTCCCACAGTGGCTTTCCTGGCTTCTCTTTCTAGATAGATTTTGAGAAGACTTTGCAGCAACTCCATCTGCTCGACAGGAAACCTCAAAAAGACCCCTGCAGGGCCTCGACAGCAAGGTGGAGATGAGCCCTCCCTGAGCTCAGGGCCTGAGGTATACAGAAGGCACCAGCTGCTGTGTGGAGGGAAACATGGGGTAAGGAATGTGGGGAGAAAGACAGGCTGGGAAGAAACAAAACAGCAGTGAAGAAGGACCCAGAGAGGGAGACTCTAGACCCAGTAGGAAAGGCATCTCCAAAGGTGCTTAAGCCCATACAAACCCATAGCAAGCCTTCTTTCTGCCCATGGCTGACCTCACCCAATACAAGGCCCCCAAATGAGGCAGGCTGGGTCTCCAGCGCACTGCTCAACACATCTGCAGCCCATGGGCTACACAACTCACCGGCCTCCTCTGCGCCCCTCTTCCTTCCTACCCAGCCAAGGAGGGTCCTCAGGTCCCTGGGCCTTGCCCAGGCTGAGGGGCTGAACTGTGGCCAACAGAAGCCAGGCTAGTGACTGGCTTACAAACAAACCTAAGAACCAGCTGACCCGGAAGAGTTTTGTAGGAAAACTATGGAGAAGCCACTACAAAACAGGTCAGGGACTACATCATCTTGCCTGCACGTGGCTCCTGGGACCATGCCAGTCACCGTGGTACTGCTAAGGGAGCCTCCAGTCATTGACGAGAACAAGCCAATCCACTGCGCAATCAAGAGAAGATCTTGCTGAATCACCAAGAATCCCCTGTGACTTCTTTGTGGCATAATAAACTTTCCTGACTGCTGAAACTGATTTTAGCTGAATACTTTTATTGCTTGGGGTCAAAAGCATCCTGATAGCCCCTCTCCTTTGTAAAATGGGATGACAGCATCACCTTCGCAGGCTAAAGATGCTGTGAGGGTTAAGTATTTTTGCAGAGTGTCAGCATGTGCTCAATAGCTGTCATTTTTTATAGTATCTACTAAGCAATGACCAAAATGCCAAAATAATTAAGACAATGCCCACACAGACTTTCCTCTGTGGGATGTCAAGATGAGCCCTGCCCAGTACATACTCCAACTGCCTGAGATATTCCATGGCCTGGAGAAAAAGACATAGAGGGAGAGACAGAAAGACAGAGATGGACAGACAACAGACCGGGGGCAAAGGGAGGAACCTAGGGACCAAACGGACAGCCAGGAGGGACATGGAAAGAACTGCGCAATGACCAACTGGGTCACTGCTTAGTAGATACTATAAAAAAAATGACAGCTATAGAGTAGCACTGGTGGGGGTTGGGGGTAGTGCGGTACATGGCAGGGAGAGTGTGGAGACTGCTGGCAAACAGGAATTCCCAACAACACCTGCACACATTTATGATATGGCCCATGATGTGTGGAGTTTTTTCTTACTATACCACAATTACCATCTTAAAGGAAGAGAAAATTGAGGCTCAGAGAAGTAGCAGACCAAGGCTGTATTTCTGGGACAAGACATAGTCAGCATTGGAATCTGGGCCTTAAAAATCCCAAGCTTTCCCACCATAACCATCCAGCTCTGAAGAGGAGGCTAGAGAATGAAACTTTTCAGAGGACTCTGCAGGACAACTCCCCAAACAGGTGTGCAGGAGCAGTCAACACTCACATAGGTCATGGTTCCCTGACACCAACAGCTGCTAGAGGCAAAGTCCCTGTGGAGTCACACTGCCACCTTGTGGCCATGAGTCCTGAGCTCTGCCACTTTTCACTTCATCTGGACAGAGCAGGAAAAAAATGTACTCTACTTTCCCATGCTCTAGGAGAACCAGGAGGAGGCACTGGCCAACTTCACATTGTGCTGAAAGTCAAAACCAAGCGTGGAAGTCTTCAGCTGAAAGTTCAGGCTTATGAAGAGGGGAAGAGAAAATACAAGGGAGGACAGAGACAGTAAATGTTCACAGCCTGGCTCTTCCAGGCTACAGGTAAGAAGCAGCCACTCATGAGAGGATTCCACACAAACTTCCCTCCACATCCACAGGACCAATAGCTCCAGGCAGAGCCCTGTATCCTCCAGACCTAGATGCAGGGCATCAGGAGAAATGAGTGAGCCACTACCACAGGTGCTGAGGAAAGAGGCAGAAGAAATCCTAGGCTGAAGGTGCAGGAGTAGGAGTTAAGAAAGACCAACTCACAGACACTGGAAACTCTAGTTTGGGATTCAGGGACACAAACGACTGGGATCAATTATGACCCAAGCAAGCACTGGTATCCACTGCATGGTACAGGTTTCACACCACAGACAAGTGCAAGACAGGCAGCCTTGACCCAGCACACAGTCGGCAAAGGGGAGGCAATGCGCACTCCCAGCAATGTGATGCACTCATTCTTCCTGGCAGATTCTCTCCAAAAAGCCAAGAAAAAATTTTCAGTGAGCAGAGCATGGTGGTGCACACCTCTAATCTCAGGACTCTGGAAGACAGACAGGAACATCACAAGTTCAAGCCCAGCAACTTAGCCAGATTGTGTCAAAAATGAATTGGGAGTGTAGCTCAGTGTGAAGGCCCTGGGTTGAATCCACACTACCACCAAAAATTGTTTTAAAGTTTTCAGAAAAATCTATTTTCTAAATGCTGCCAACCTATGGGATAATGGTTGGAAGAGCACACTGAGTGCACACCTTCCAGAGCAGCTGGCACGAGGGCTCTCCATCGCCCCCTACGGTTGCACAGGACCAGAGGCCCAGGGAGGAAAGTTAAAGCTGTCAGTGTTAGCCTCCTTCTTGTTACCTTATTTGAAAATTTTGGTTGTGTTTTGTGTTTGTTTTGGTTTTTTCTTCACCCTCTCTCCTTAAAATTTAAAAAAAAAAAAAAAAAAGGCTGGGTATTGTGGCCTATGTCTGTAATCCCAGCATCCAGGATGCTGAAGCAGGATTGTTGCGAGTTTGAGATCAGCCTGGGCTACAAAGTGAGCTCAAGGCCAGCCTGAACTGCATAGTGCCACTCTGTCTCAATAAGATTTTAAAGAAAGAAAAAATGTTAGACTTACTAAGAGGCTGTCACCAAATGGTTGTCTATTTACCACTAGAAGGGACTTGAACTCTGATTTGGAATTGTCAGTTTGGGGCACCAGAGCCTGGGAGAGGTCAGGGACTAAACCAACTCTGAGCTTACAAGGTGGAGGCAATGACCGTGGCCTGGCTCCTCCCTCACAAAGCCCCTGTATCTCATAAAATGAGCCTTTAGAGTGTGCTGTTACTAGAAAAGTGCTCAGCACTGCAAGGCAGCAGCACTTGCTCTGTGTGTGTGTGTGTGTGTGTGTGTGTGTGTGTGTGTGTGTGTGTGTGTAAGATCCATGAGCAAAGGCTGCAGCCTGCAGGACTGCAGGCTGGGTTCCTGCCTTTGGCTGGGAACCAGCACCGGCACATTCGCTGCTGTCTCAGTGAGGACACAGTGCCCCAGACAAGCGCAAGATCTGGCGCCTGGGCTTGGAGCATTCCATCAAGTTCTGCTTTCTGCCTGAGAGGTTTCAAGACCACAGATCCAGGCCAAAGAAAACTGAGATGAACTGCGACGTCGTGCACATCACCTTGAGGCTCCCACAGACACGTCACATCCAGAGGGAGCAGGCTAGCATAGAACAATGAACCTGGGCTTCAGAATCCCCAAGTGTGCAGTCCCAGGCCTGCATTCCCCAGACAGGTTGGGGAAAACCAGTCTACTTCACCTGTCAAGCTAGATTCAATTTCCTGAAATAATATTTTTCAAGGTGACTGAGAAACACTATATAGAGTATTTTTCTATTTTTTTAAAAAAGACCATTTTGCATATTTATACTTCTCCCCCACCTGAGTTTATTTATTTATTTTTGCAGTACCAGGGATTGAACTCAGGACCTTGTGCTTGCCAGGCAAGCGCTTATTCTACTGAGCTATCTATTTCTCTGCCCCCCCCACCTGAGTTTCTAAAGATCAAAACTGAATTTGACTTGTTTAATCCCTCCTCTCTCCCATAACACATCGCCTGGTATAGATGAGCTAAGTTTAAAGAGCATCTTTCTTCCTGCTGGACCTATGACCTGTACAGTCCCACAAAGCCTTCTCGTAAGGTGACTGAGAGGGGAGCTATGAGCAGGCCTGCCTGATTCTCTCTGCAGGAAATAAACCTCCCAGAGAAGGATCTTAATGCTGAGAAACATGGAACAACTTCCCAAGAAGACAGTCACCCAAAACAGGTAATTGACATCCACTGGGCACAGGCTTATCAGAAATTCTTCGCTACATTTAAAAGCAACCAGAACCACAAGAACAAGAGTTCTGCATTGGTCAAGCAAGCTGGATGGCATCAGTGGTAGAGCACAAAGTGCCACCTATAGACAGTATGGAGGAAAGCCCAGAGAAGGCCTAGGGAGAGAAACCAAGAATGTGCTCATCTGCGGTACAAGTAGGGAACCGGATGGATGGTGGCTGAGCTCCCAGCCAGGTCAGAGGCAGGGAAGACAAGCAAAGTCCACTGCTGGGAGCCACCAGCAGAGTGAGCTAGGGTAGCAGGTGCAACCAGCAGCCACAAGTCACATGGAAAAGGTCCTGCTCCTCTGGCATGGACAAGGGCAATGGGGGCCAAAGGGCCCAGGACCAGAGCTCTGTGGGCTGAGACTACACTGCAAAACCACAGGAGAAGCCAGGAGCCACTGAAAGGCCTGTGCTAACCCTGGCACCAATACTAAACTTGACTCAGCCTACACAGTTTGCACGTGAAACTCTCTTGCACTGTGGACAAGGTCAGTTGTATGTGCTTGACATTGTGCCACAGCCAAGGCCACCTGCCAAGTATGACGGGGTTGGGACCAGGCCATGGGGGCTACAACAAGAGAGGGATCTCCAGG